AAAAAAAAAAAAACAAAAAATCTTGTAAGCGAAAGATTTACGAAAATCAATAAGTAGGAGAAATCAATGAAATTTGAAAAGAGCAGAAAGAAAATGAGAGCGATGGAATCTACTCGCTCAAGGCGAATGGGACAGCAAGATGAAAGATAACATGGTAAAAAACCGAAGGACAAGTCGCCAAGTGCAAAAATGGAAAACTGAAGGACGCCTTGGAACTTTTTCATACCCAAACCTGACATTTACTTACCGTTTAGCCAGTAGGCGTCAGTCATCTGACCATCGGCACGGTAACTCGTACTGGGCAGTTTGGCCATGTTATTTTGACGAGCTGATGAGTTGACAAACAGATTTTGCATATGTTCGTGAATGTTCAGCTCGGCTTCGGCCGGGTTTGGTGGACCCTGAAAAACAAGAAATTTGAAGATCGCTGTTCAGGTCAGACACGGAAGACCAACTAGTAAGTTGTCAGTGAAAGATGTCTCTGTGACCTGAGAAAAGAAGATCTAGATGGGTGTCGACCTTTTTCGCGATTACTCCATGCATTCTAATCCCATTCAAATTATCATTTTGGCATTATCTCCGTGTTTACAATGACTTTTAGAGCAAACAATGATATTCATTTTTTTAAATTTTTAAACAAATTATTTGATAATTAGCTACAATGAGGAAAAAGAAAGGCTGAATTGGCTAGACAAAATCGGGTCCAGGATCTAATCCAGGGACCTGCGTGGTAATGGGGCCATCCCAAGAGCTATATCTTCCCTCAACTCCCTTTCGAAGACCTTCGTCTAAAAGCTAATATTTGACGAACAGAACCAAAAATAAAGAAATAAAATTAGCCCCTATTAGAAGTGCCCAAACTAGCCCCTATTAAGCTGATAGGGCAGGGCCTTTTCTCGTGAAGGCAGTCCTGTTAAGAGCTGATTAGGATAGCAGAATCAAAATGCGAAGGATTCAATAAAGATCAAAAAAATTAAGCTGTTTTTTGCAATAGTCCATTTTGGTTTGGTGATCTAATCGATACCTATCAATATAATGATCAGTTAAACATTCAGTTGAGTCAAATCGATCTATCTGAGTCAAACCTTCATTCTGCGTGATCCTGAACAAAAAACTTGCAACAGATGATCAGGACCGGAAAAAGATGGACTGGCCTACTGTCCTGGCCAAACCCCTGACCCGTCAGGCTAGGTTCCCAGTGGTTGCTGAGCTACTGACCAAATTAAATCGGCAAGTTGAGCAAACAGCTTAGGACCTATTTTCGATTCGAAAATAATCCGTTCGTAGACAAATTTCTTTGATTCGAAGCTGTTTATTCTTTACATGTCCTTTCCAACTGCTCGCTCACCTACGGGTCCGGGTTCTAGTCCAGTCTTACAATTAGCCTAATCAGTTGGCTAAACTCAAGACTAGGCACCCGCAGCCTTCGGATAGGTAGACAAAGCTCTGATTCAGCAAGTCCAACAAAAAAATCAATTCATATCCAGTTCATTAGCGGAACCTACTTGCTCCACGTGTTGCTTTGTTTTTTGACAGAACACCATGGCACGTGTGGTGGCACAAATTGTGATGTTGAAATGTCATGCAGATCTTGAAGAAGATGTATGAGGATGACGAATTGGCGATTAAGAACGACGGCTGTGTTAGAACAGTTGCCAAGCCAGGTATTC